ATTTTGGAACCTAAACAATTTATGAGCATTTTTTTTTCTTTCTTAAACTCTTAAGAAAAAAAAAAATCCCTTTGGGAGCAACCTTTACCTCTTTGTATCTTGGCAATGACGCGCAGCGGTTTGAACACTAAGGTGAATGAGGTCAGTAATTTGCATGATATCGCTGTGAGGAAATATTTGAGAGATGTTTTTATTTATTGCAATAACTAAGTCCACCGGAATTAAAGAGTGCACTAAAAGTGAAAACAAGTTTAGAGGGAGGAAGGAGTTGGGAGGCAATGTATAAGCAAGGGGCTCTTGGCAAGCTGTTTTGAGAATACAGCCTCAAAGCTATGTGGATAAAAAAAAAAAAATGGGGTTGGGCACACGCAGATGCCAAGCCAAGGAACTCTGCCCTGGAGGAGCGTCTCTGGGGTAACCTTCCAAGATGTGAGCCATCTCGAGTGAGGCAGGCGTGTGCTCCAAGCAGGGATTTTTCTTGTGAATGAGAAAAGGGGCAGTCTGGGATTCTCTTCTACTAAATGGCAGTAAGTAGTCCCAAGGCAGCTATCTGGACAGTCTGGAAAGAGATAATCCTTTCGGAGTCCAGGCTGTAATGTATCTTTGGGAAAAGTCTTCGCAATTTGAATGTGTACTAAGGGAGGTAATTTCTTCTTCTCTTCCTGGAGAAAGATCAGTAAATGTAACAAACGTTGAGAGATGTCTTCCTTTCTTTTTACTTTTCCTTCCTCTTTTTACTTCCTTCCCCATCAAACCACATTCTTTTCCAATAACCTTAAAGGTTACAGTGTGTCAAAGGCTATCCAGAACTGGATGGTTTTTCTACCTGTTTACTCTGCAACTTCATCCAGGTATTCCCACATGCTCCCTGTTACAGGATCAGGCCCACTTTTGGCTTACAGCAGGGCATTTAGAGAGCTCCAACTTTTGTAAGTAAACATTTCACCGATTATGTAAACATTTTTTTCTAATTAAATTGCTTATGTGATCTAAATTTTTGGCTTGATCATAACTTATTTCACACCCTTGCAAATAAAAGTATTTTCCTAGAAGCACCTTAAAAAACAGAGCGTGCCACTCTATTCAATGTCAATATAAATTGTTTGGGGAAGGAGGACTGGGATTGCACACTGCATTGCTGGTACTGTACTGGTGCTGTACTGGTGCTGTATATGTATTATGTCATTTAATTTTCATTAATAAGCTTACACATTTTTACATGCTTACTTTACGAATGAAGGAAAGGAGGCTCAGAGAAGTAATTTGCTTAAGATCGTATAGCTAAATAAACGGCAAAGCTGGAATTTGAACCTAGATTTGTCTGATTACAAACCATGACACTATATTGCTTATGCATATGGTCCATAGTTACTTCAAATACAACATGTTCAAAACCAAACTTATTTTTCCAATATTCCCCCTGGTTGATGTTTCTCCTACTAGGTTTCCTAGTTCAAAGGCCACTGATTACCAAAACACTGAAGGTAAGAACTTGGTCAGTCAGTCCATTGGTTGGTCAGTCTCTCTCTCTCTGTCTCTCTGTCTCTGTCTCTCTCTCACACACACACACATACACAAACACACACTCCTCTGCTTCTTTTTCTATGGCTTTAGATTAGCCTCACAACACTTTCCTGCCATATGATAATATAGCTTCCCAACTCATCTGTCTGCTTCCATTCTTGTTTTCTGACTTATCCAAGCCACATATTAACAAACCCAATAATATACCATGTAGAGATAAATAATACCTCGTTTTTCTGAAGATCAGTTTTTCAGCTGACTCAGCCTTCTAAGAGCCTCAAACACCTATAAGAAAAGGTATTTGGAAACCCCAAATAGCAATTCCAAACCCTGTGCTATGGAAAGACTGGAGCTGTCACTCAGGATTTTACTGGCTTTTTTGAAAGGAATATCACTAGCTTACCTTATACTTTTTTGCAGTCTGCAGCTAGTTTAGAAGCAGTAAGATTCAAAACAGGTGGACTACTGCTACAGGAGAGCCATTTAAAGCTTTGCTACTGAAAGTGTGGACCCCAGACCAGCAACATTTGCATCACCCTGGAGCTTGCTAGAAATTCCGAATCTCATACTTCCTTCTACACCTGCTGAACTGGAATGTGCATTTAAACAAGATCCCCAAGTAACTTGTAGGCATATTAACGTTTTAGGTGCACTGATTTAAAGCAAATTAGGTATTTGAAAATCAAACTCTACAACAAATTGGGGGTACTCATGTTTCTATTAAGATCCACATAGATATCTTCTTAAAAAATAAGCTATTAATGAATTTTAGATCACTGAATTGCTTTTTAAAAAGGTTTATGACAGGGGCCGGGTGCGGTGGCTCACGACTGTAATCCCCGCATTTTGGGAGGTTGAAAAGCGGGTGGATTGCTTGAGCTCAGGAGTTTGAGACCAGTTTGAGGAACATGCCAAGAGAACATGCCTGTCTCTACAAAAAGTACAAAAATTAGCCTGGCATGGTGATGCGTGCTTGTAGTCCCAGCTACTTGCTAGGCTGAGGTGGAAGGATTGCTTGAGCCTGGGAGGCACAGGTTGCAGTGAGCCGAGATTGCACCACTGCACTCCAGCCTGGGTGACAGAGTGAGACCCTGTTACCCCCTCCAAAAATAATGTTTATAACAGCACGTGACCATTTAGTTTTCTAAGGCTATGGTTTAGATGTGGGATATCAGTTGGTATTACAAGTAGAAGGGGAAATTGCCACTAACCTTCCATGCTAAATCCTATTTATCTATACTTCTCTCTTAACTATCAGTCTAGGTATGCCTATTAACATACCACATTAATGAGACTGTTTATGTAGAAAAAGTTTGAGAACTAGTGGATAGTGTTTCTCAGACATTTCACATTAGCTCTGACGGTAGAGGATAATGAACATTTATCTCTGGAGGTCAAAGTGTCCATCATAATAATGAATTTCTTTTAAGTCTCGTGTAGTATATTTATTTAAATTTTATATTGTTCAATGTTTAAAAATATAAAAAATTAACTACAAACGAAAGCAATGAACAAGGTAAATAACTCAAAATTTGTTACAGCCTAAGGTGATAACATTTTCCCAGACATTTTAGAACTTAAATAAAATGTTTCATAAGTGAACAGAAACTAGATGTAGGTGGGGGAAGGAATCTTCCTAGCATTCCAATTGTATCTCTAAATATATTTTTACTGATTGACTTGGGAACCATGTATATTCTTATTTATAAGATAACACAACCTGGGTTCCATTAAACTTACAAATAAACTGTGAAAACCCTTCTTAAGTTGGAGACTCCATAGACATACAAATGTTACTGCCACTGTTAAAAAACACCAGCTTATATTTTTACTACGATGTGAGAGTGTAGCATCAAGTCTGATGCTCAAGCTAAAGAATGTCAAACGATAATAACAGGAAGAAAATTCACAAGTGTTATGGAATTTCTCACCTTGGTTTATAACCAAGAGAATCTAAAACATATATCTACACAAATACTTGTATGTGAATGTGCATAGCAGCATTATCCATCCATAATGGCCAAAAAGAATAGTCCAAGGGTTCATTAATTGTTGAATGGATAGCCACAAGTGGTATATCCATACAATAGAATATTGCTCAGCAAGGAAAATGAAATACTGATATATGCTACAACATGGAGGAACCTTGAAAACATTATGCTAAGGGGAAGAAGCCAGTCACAAAAGGCCATATAATGTATGATTCCATTTATATGAAATGTCCACAATAGACAAATCTATAGAGACAGAAAGCAGATTGGTAGTGGTGTGGGGCTGGGAATGGGAGGGGGAACTGACTGTAAATGGGCATGAGGGAATGTTTTGGGGTGATGGAATGTTCTAAAACTGGATTGTGGTAATAGTTGTACGTATCTACACATTTGCTAAACATATTCCAATGATATATTTACAACGGGTAAATTATACTTCAGTACAACGTTTAAAAATTTAAAAAATACTTAAAAATGCCCCAAAAGAAGTCCCACAAAACTTGAAAAAAGGTTAACTCTCTAAGATTATATGGCAAGAATATAGGCATCACACATCCACCCCTGTCCCCCGCATATCGTCACGTAAGACACATGTACCTGGTTTGATAATCATAGTGCTGAGGCGTTCCAGGCATCTGTGTATTCTTAACATGCTTGACAAAAGAAAGATGCACTTAGTTCATTAACAGCATCCTGACAATCACACTGCCAAAGAGAAGGCTGAAGAAACACTTTAAGGTAATAAAAGCTCCTATGTCATTGATAGCATGAAGATGGACTGGCATCAAGGTCTATTTTAATGTTATATTATTACTGGTCAACCTCTTTTTACCTTGCTGACATTTAACAATAACTCCTGGTAAGTTGAATGATACCACAATGGTATCCATTCCTCTCTATGTAATATGTAAATATATCATACTAAAGTTTTAGTGTTTATTGATCAAATAGATAAATGACCATTTACATCCAACCATTTTCTTACCTCCCAAATCCAGACATATTATATGAGAAAAGTTAGTGTATGGACAGTGATAAGGTTTGGATATTTGTCCCTTCCAAATCTCATGTTGAAATGTGATTCTCAGTGTTGGGGGTGAGGCCTAGTGGGGGCGATTGGATCATGGGGGTGGATCTCTCATGAATGATTTAGTATCATCCCCTTGGTGATAAGTGAGTTCTCACTCAGTTCATGCAAGATCTGCTTGTTTAAGAGTCTGGAACATCTTGCTTCTCTCTGTCTTCCTCCTGCTCTTGCCATGTGGTGTGTTTCCTTCCACTTAACCTTCACATCATGATTGTAAACTTCCTGAGGCCCTTACCAGAAGCGGAGCAGATGTTGGCCCCATGCTTACTATACAGCTTACAAAACCATGAGCCAGTTAATCCTGTTTTCTTTATATATTACCCAGTCTCAGGTATTCCTTTATAGTGACACAAGAAACATCCTAATACAGACAGTTAAACCAACACCAGACACAAACGTTTATTGGAATATTTTATTTACGTTTTATATTTAAAGAGAATCAATACAAATCGGGACATATTTACAGCATTTCAAATCAGCGTACAAGAATGCAATGGTTTCATCCATTCAGCAAACAAAAATACATGTCTGTTTTATTTTTGCCTAAATTCTGCTAGAATTTGAACAAAATTCTAAAACAAAAGATAAGCCACACAGAGTACAAATAAAGTGCATTTTTAAATAGCTCTATTTAACTTTGGTGGATGAAGCTTCAAACTTTGTATTAAGGCACCTGGAATTCTCCCCTGTTTCTTTTTCAAACACCAGGAAAATGCATTCACAAAATTTATAGTTACATGGACAGAATTTTAGTTTATCTAATGTAATTTTAGCCCATTTAGGTCAAACATAAACTCAATTTGCAAAGTAACATTGTTTGGAAAACATTTTCAACAGACTAATTTTACAGAACATTTTTTTCTGTAGACTAATTCATGCACAAAGATCAATGACCAATATTAGTGTTACTTACTCTGTCATTACCATTTTCAAACAGTATGATGATTCATATACTGTGCTTTTGAAAAATCCCATAAGTTTGAGAAATAGTTACACAGTATTTTTGTAAGGAACCTTTTTGTCTAATCTTGTGTCAAGTTGATGTCACTAATATACCAATCAATTCAGTCCATAATCTCTGATAAACTATGGTTGACACTCACATGAAGTACATTCAGCCTAATTTTAAAAACAAGAAAAAGTTAAAATGAATATTTTGCTTTAATCTTGTTCTATTAACTTAAAGTAGCTTAAATAGACATTTCAAGAAGAACTAGCCTAAGTTTGCACTGCTTTTTACATTACAATTCCAGATCAATATAAGCACCTGGAGAAAAACCCTGACACATATAGCCCAAGCTAAAGTAGTAGTATTTTTCATTAAGATACTATCATAAAATAAAGTGATTATAGCTACTCCACATTTTAAAAGCAACATGTTTTTATAAGAAAATTGTTATAAATGAAAAACATGACTTCTTGAAGACAGTTTTGAATCTAAAAATGTTGCTATCACTATTGAGAGGAAACTTGCCTATGAAAAACATTATAATGAGTTTGTGGAAAAAAGTTAACAGGTTAAATATTTTAAGCCATTTAACTATAGCATAATATTAGTCATCTCTGCACTTTCAGTATCACTCTTATTTTATTAAATTTATCCAGTTTATTAATAGAAACTAGGCCCTGATTGGCAGTTCTGTTATTACTAACGGTTCAAGTTTTCTATTGACACAGACTTTAAGATTTAATTTCTTGAACAGCAGTCTCTTGATCAGGAGTTTCATCTTCTTCAAAAGTTGGGTTGTCAACATGAGGAACAACATCCACTGACACAGAATTTGCTTCATGGTTTACCAGCTGTAGATTTTCATCTTTAAAAAGAAATAGCAATTTTAGGATGATTTTGCCCCTCTCTTCTTTTAAGACAAAATTCATCATGTAGTTCCAAGAAGTCTTTCTTATTTAATTTCATCATACTCTGATTATCATACTCATTCCCTGTACCTTTAATAATTATATGATTTATACTATATCTTACATAAAGCATATATGGCATTATTATATTGATTTATAATTGCCCCTTTTTTGATTCACATACATGGGTTTATTTCTACCCAGATTATAGCCTCCTTAAGAGCAAAAATTATGTCTTCTACTTCTTCCTTACCTTAAATATAACAAGCTGTTAAATCTGGCTATATATTTTTTAAGTGTCCAAACCTGGGAACTTAAAAAAATTACCAGTGCTTCTTCATACACATAAATATAGATAGATAGATTTAAAAAATCAACCAGGAAGTTGGAAGGATGCCCAAAATTGAATACAAACAGTAATAAATGAACTTAATTGTATTATAAATGAAATACATAACCATGTGAAGAGCACAGGGAAGAAAACAACTAAACTTAAATAACGTTGGAAAACAGTATTTTGACTCTAACTTGTAAGGCTAAAAACAAAAAGAACTGTACACTAGTTACTGACATTGTTTTACACAGGGGTATGTGTTAGCAACGCTGAAACTATTTTATGTATATTCTATAATTGAACAAATAAGTAAAAATACTGTGGATAAAAAGAGTCTTTCTCCTTTCACTGTCGGAGAAAGGAGTTACAAATAAATAAAGGGAGAGGCCAGAATGAACCCTGTGGTGTTGGATTGGAATCAGACGTATTAGTAGGGTCATTGTTTTTCAGATAAATAGATGAAATGACAGATAGAGAAATAATGTATATGTATGTGTATATTTGTGAGAGTAAATACATATATTTTCTAGTCTTGTTCGCTAAAAGGGCCAATAGCAATGACACCCCAGTAGCAATAAACATGCCTGTTGCTCAGATTCTGGTTTTGAAATACCACTCTCCAGTAAAAGGCCTCCTGAAGAAGTGGCTGATTCTAGGGCTAGGATAGGGAAAGTACAAGGTTAACCTAGATTTTAGCCTAGGGACCAGCAAACTCCAGCCTACCCGCCATAGCTAAAAGTGTTTATCATGGTTGTAAAAGGTTGTAAAACAAACCAACGAAAACAAAAAATAAGGGTATGAAAATGAAGACTTACGGCCTTCAAAGCCTAACATATTTACTATGTGGCCCCTTACAGAAAAAGTTGGCTAATCCCAGACCTAGAACACCTTGTGTTACCAGAAAGTAAGAAAGTTGAAAGAACACAGAAATCAACTTGAACAAGTTCCCAATGACCAAATCTAGGATGATATGAGCAAGGGATAAATGATGAGAATGATATTATAGAATGAAAGAAACATCTAGGATCCTATAGTATAATAAATAAATAATTGAATAAATAAATGGAGGAGAAGGAATAGTTCTTCCTTACATTAGAAGTTTAATCAATAAATGTACAAAGAATGATGGAAACAGAAAATCACCATTTGGTAAATACTTCAGCAATAATTACTGCAAGCAAGAAGCATCAATGATTGCTAAAAGTAGTGGGTAGAAGTATGATGAGAACCAGGACATTTGTGTAGTCTCCAAGTATCTCTCTATAAGATATTTAATAATTACAAAGGGAAAAATGGTAATTTTAAAGGGAAAAACCTGGCAGACACCACCTTAACCAAGTGGGCAAAGTTTGAATCATCAGTAATAAGACACTAACATCATGTGCTTCCTGGAATGATATGGGGGCACTGAAAGGGGCACAACATCAGTTCTGTAGTATTCTTGACAAAAATGGACAATAAATTTAATCACTCAGAAACAGCAGACTTGCCCAAATTGAGGGACACTCTAGAAAATAACTGACCAGTAATCTTCAGAAGCATCAAGGTCGTGAAAGACAAAGAACGAAGTGTCACAGATTGGAGACTAAGACACATGACAATTAAATGCAATGTGGGATCCTGGGACAGAAAAAGGACATTAGTGGGCTAACTGGTGAAATTTGAGTCAAGTTTATAGTTTTGATAATAACATTTTATCAGCAAATTTCCTGGTTTTGATAATTGTATATGGTTACATAAGATGTTAACATTTGGAGAAGCTGGGCAAAGGGTATATGGGCATTTTTTGTATTATTTTTGAAATGTTTTTGTCAGTCAGTCTGAAATCATTTCAAAAGTAAAATAAAAAATACCTGTGCCCGGGCCCTGCACCTCATGTTAAATCACAGTTGCTCTGAGGTACAGCCCAAACATCAGCAAAGTTTAAAATCTCTCTAGGTGATTTTCATATACAGCTGGGATTGACAGTAGGGCCCTTATTCAATGGTTCTCAAAATGTGGTCCCTGGACTAGTAGCATCAGTATCACCTGGGAACCTGTTAGAAATGAAAATTCCTAGGCATCATTCAAGACCCACTGAGTCAGAAACTCTGATGGTGACCTCTCTGTTTTAATAAGCCCTCCAGGTGACTCAATGAATAGTTTGAAAACCAGTGCTCTAATAGAACTTAGCCCAATGATGTGACACACAACATGAACTATGTGTATTTACAAAGTTATGCAAATCAACTATCACCATAAGAATCAATGGCTAATACAAAAGACGAAAGATTCTTAAACTAGTAATATGTAATCCCAGACAAAATGAAATCTGGTTTAAGTGGTCATTCATTCAACACAAATTTGAGTATCTACTATGTGCTAGGTGCTAGATAGACAATAGCGAATATAAGACACTGTTCTTACCCAAAGGAACTTTAGAAGTTTTAATACAATTCAGTGTAGTAAGTGCAATGATTGAAGTTCTATGGAAGCCAACAGCAGGGCCATCACATCTAGTCAAGAGAGGCTTCTCAAAGAGGTGTCAGTCTTAAAGGAGAAACAGGAGTTATACTGGGCTCCCCTAATTTCTTGGGTAAGGAAGAATGGAAAGAATAGGCAAAGAGAAGATAGTGGCTCAAACTATGACTGTGGAATTAAGGTTGGAAATTAGGGGACAGAGTTGAGAACACAGATGTTTAATCAATAGGAAGGGGAAGTGGGAAGAATTTGGGATATCCTTAGTTTCTGTTTTAGGGCACTTGGGTGAGTATTACTATTATCCAAATTAAGAATACAGGAGGAGGAACATGGATCGCTATTTCATTTGCTTTTCAAATCTCTTAAAAATCTATTGTGCTTACCTCTTCCCCCATCCCACCCCTACCCACAGAAGAACAGAACACAAAAAGAGTAGATTGGAATGTTGTTTTTTAAAAGACTAGCAATAAATTATCTTGTACACTCTCTTTTATCTTTACTGAATTCTATTACCACACAATTATGAGAGTACAAGATCATCTGGAGCAATCAGACAATGATTCTCTATTATAGGTAGAATAATCCACCCATTATTAAGATACTTATAACTAGTTTATATTCAAGGGAAGATATATACAAGAAATACAAAGTTTGCCTCTGCATGGTTATATTCATTGTGCTATCTTCAGAAGTGGTATCTATGGCACTGATAAGCCTATGAGGACAAGGTTTTATATCATAGGAAGCTGAAAGTTTCATAAATCATCTTGACAATCAGTTTTTGTTTTACTTTTATGCTAGAATTAAATCATCTCAAAACGAGGATTGTTGAGAGAAGACTTTCAAACCAACAAAAACATGGAAAAGATTGAGGTTAAAGAAAGGGAAAATAATTTTTATAGGGGTTTTATCTTTATAGGGAAAAACAGAACTCCCTAAAATTTCTCATTTGGCATAAAATTATTAAGTTGCAATACGAATTCATATGAATTTTGAAAATGATATATTCAATTTTAGTTTCTAACAGTTTGTTCATTTCATGGTAAATAGTCAACAGGTGGCAGCACATACCATTCTTAAACAGTTTCCTATTTGCAAAACATGGTTTCTGGAGAAGCTGGGCATAAATCAAGCTTTTGTAAATTGAATTCTATTTTATCATTTCAGAATTCCTTTATCTTAACTTCTGCTTTATCTGCAATGAACAATGGCTTCTAAAGTTTAAAGTTTCTTCTTACCCTCTGTAAGTAGTTAATAAGCCAAGATTTAAATGCATCAGAGAGAAGCGTTCCAATAAATCTTTCTTTTGTAAATAATCCCCACTCTGATGCATTTCATCTATTTCAAATACATTTGAATATATGAATATTAAGGTAGGGGTGCATCCTTCACGGCATTATTTTAAGCAGAAAAAACTTGGATCATGATAATGGCTGAATAGAACAAACGCTAAAAAGCAAGAGTACTATACAGGCATATGATCCACAATGAATTGTAGTGCACTCATTAACCTTTAGTATGCTTACTTGTTGACTGCACGTGTTCCTCCAGAGGGGGTTCATCTGCTCCCTGTACTGAAGCATATCCAGATGATGCGGTCTCACTGCGATTATCCTCTTCATGGGAGGAGGCACTATTGGATGTTTCATTGGATACAGGGACTTGTAAGGACACTGATCCATCTTCAACATCCACCTTTAAAGAGCATTTGAAAAAATTAAAAGCCTTTCAGTGTACACGCTTTTCCTCGACATATCACTTCAAAGTTTCTTTATAGGTGACTCACTGCAGCAATATTTCTCAACCTTTTAAACCTATGATCCCTTTTGATGGTCACGGGTCTCTCGTTTGCCCCAGTCAAAACAGAGTAACTGGGTCCACCAATGGGGTGAAAGATGCTATAGGCAGAGTGTACTCTCATCTGATATGTTCATTTGAGTGATCCCAGCACTTCATAAAATAATGCTAGGTACAAGTTAGGCCCTAAAAAGTCATGCTGTCTCCTATGGAACTTGAGAATCACTGTCATCTATGTATCTTCCCATGTCAAGATCTGAGCTTGATTTTATGTTGTATCTTGAAAACAGGCCTTTTTTTCATTTACCAAATATAAAATTATAATTTAGTATTTATTATGCTTTCTCAAATTATGTCTGCTTATTTAACTCCAAGTTTGCTCATTATGCAACATTAAAAGATTACAAAAATAGAAAGAGGGATGCCAAGTTGGTGGTTTACATGGTTATCATTTCAAATTCTGACCAAATAATTGAATGTATTTGGAAAGAGGGAGGAAGAAGGAAAATGGAGATGGCCCAAGGTGGCACCTCATTGTCTATATGATATAAATATGTCTGGTTTTAGGTATAAACTGTAAGTATGGCATATTACATAGCTAAAAAATAAGGACGTTATTTTGTTGTTTTCCCCAAAGCCCAGGCATATATTCTTCATATAAATAACATATTAATGTTTACCTCAATTCCCAAAGCTTTGAGTATGTCACATTTGCACATGGGGCAAGTCCTGTGTTCTAACAGCCATGGGTCAACACATGTCTTATGGAAAATATGGCTAATGCAGAAAAAAACATAATTATCAGTTGTGAAGTAGCAACACTTTGCCTAATATATATTAACAGATTACTTAGTGTAACTTTTAGTCTTTGAATGGATGCCTTTTCTTTTAAACACACTATTCATACAATGAAGGAGCCACAGAAACAAAATTTGGAAATTCCATAATACAGTACTTTTAAATGTAAAAGCCTCACTACTCTAGCTCCAAAAAAAATATTTTCAGTACTCATTTGAAAATGGCTAGGATGCTACCTGACCTAAGACTTTGTTCATTATTTCAAATCTTAAACAGTTATAATTCCCTAACTGATAAATGGTACAGTCATTCTCAATAACATAGTCCAATATAGTATTGAGTACAACACCACCGTACTGATGCTTTAGGCAATGTGATATGTTCCAAGAGCATCACTATTGTATTAAATAGCTAAGAAGGAGTATTAAGAACAACCTTCAGGAGAGGGATAATTTATAAAACTAAGGAATGAACACTTCCAAATAGATGCTCATGAGTTGATTTCATTTTATTTTTTTCTCGATGGATTAGAATACATTTAAAAAAATATATATATATATATAGTGCTGGCTAGGTTCTCAGTTTTCTATGGAATTAGTTTAGAACAAATTGAACCACATTACAGTTAGACTTATACCAATTTCAGTAATATTAATAAATGAATGAACATAAAAATAAACCATTCTATATTTAAATGAAAATAAGTTAAAAAATAAACATTTTTAACATTAATGTGGAAATATTCAAAATAGTTTTCTTCCATCACAATCATTTTTGTGGGTCAGCTATTTTTATTGAAGATATAGAAGAAAATCAAACTTACTTGCAGGTTAAGATGCGTACCAAATCATTTGGTTTATACAATTCAATGCACACAGCACAACTGTCTCCATCAGGGCCAATTTCCTACAAGCAAGTAGTTATTGTTACTCTGACAGATAAGAAAAAATATATTAAACTGCAGAAGAAGATCAGAACATATATGTACTTAACCAGCCTAAATTCCTATAAAAGGAGGAGCATTATATCACCGAATGGTTATGTAACTGTAAAGTTCCCAAAGGTGATTTAAAATTATCCAGACTTTAAAAAGGTAAAAGAATAAAGTGAAACAAAAGGGGAAAAGAACCAAGAGAAACATGTAGCACTGATTTAAACTATTTTTCCTGATTTTAGAATTCATAAAATACCATTTGTACAAGTTCTATAACTTTTCTCATTAAAAAAATAAGGTATAGTTCATATACAGTAAAATTTACCCTTTTAATGTACAGTTCTGCATGTTTTGAAAAATATATAGTCTCTTAATCCTTACCACAATCAAGATACAGAATAGTGCTATTACTCCCAACAAACTCCTCCAAACTCTTTGTAGTTATCCTTTCCTCTCATCCCCACCTCCTGGCAACCACTGATCTGTTTTTATAGTTTTGGCTTTCCCAGAATATCATATAAATGGAATCATGCATTATCTAGCTTTTGAGTTTGGATTTTTTAAACTTAGCATAATACATTTGAGATTCATCCATAATGCTGTATGTATCAGTGGGGTTCCCATCACACTTTTATTGCTAAATAGTATTCCATGATATGTATGTACCACAGTTTATCCATTCACCAGTTGAGCAATATTTGGCTTTTTTCCAGTATTTGACAATATGAATAAAGCTGCTATGAACAGTTGTGTTTTTATGTGAACATAGATATTTTCTCCCTTTAGAGTAAATATCTAGTAGTGAGATTGCTAGGTGTTATGGTAAGTGTATTTTCAACTTCAGAAGGAACTGCCAAACATTTTCAAATTGGCTATACATTTTGCATTCTTACCAGCAAATGAATGAGAGTACCAGTTGCTCCAAATCTTGACCAGCTCTTGGTATTTTCAGTTGTATGTATTTTAGCCATTCTAATGAATGTACAATGGTATTTCATTGTGGCTTTAATTTGTATTTCTTTAATTATTAATGATGTTGAACATCTTTTGTGTGCTTATTTGCCATTCATATTTTTTTGCTGGATTGTCTGTTTTGCTTGCCAGTTTTCTGTTAGGTTGTTTGTATTCTTACTGTTACGTTTTGAGAGTTCTTTATATTCTAGGTATAGCTCTTTAACAGACATATGATTTGCAAATACTTTCTCCCAGTCTGTACCTTATCTTTTCCTTCTTCTAACAGAAGTTTAATAAAGAACAGAAATTCTTTATTATTATTATTATTATACTTTAAGTTCTAGGGTACATGTGCATAACGTGCAGGTTTGTTACATATGTATACTTGTGCCATGTTGGTGTGCTGCACCCACCAACTCGTCAGTACCCATCAACTCGTCAATTACATCAGGTATAACTCCCAATTTTGACAAGGCCAAATGTACCATTTTTTTTTCTTTTTTGGACTTGTTTTTGGAGTTATATCTAAGAAATATTTGTCACCCAAGTCATGAAAATATTTTTCTTTAAAGTTTTCTTCTAAAAATTTCATAGTTCTAGGTTTTATGTTAAGGTCTATGATCTATTGAAATAATGCTTACATAGGGTATGAAGAATGGATTTAAGTTCTTTTTTGTTTGTCTGTTTGCTTGCTTTTTGCTTAAGGATATCCAATCACTGCATATGGATATCCAACAACTGGCTATCCTCCTGAAAAGGCTATCCTTTCTTCACTGAATTGCTTTTGCACTTTTATGGAAAGTCAATCGACCATACATGTGTGAGTTTATTTCTGGACTCTCTCTTCTGTTCCATTGATCTATAAATCTATCCTTTTCCCAATACAACACTATCTTGACTGCTGTGACTTTAAAATAATTCTGCAAATCAGGTAGTATGAATCATCCCAAGTTGTTCTTTATCAAAATTGTTTTGTTTATTCTAGTTCTTTTGCATTTTCATCTAAGCTTAGAATCAGGCTGTCAATTTCTATCAAAGATTTATACTAGGATTTTTATTGAAACTGCATCAAATCCATAAATCAGTTTGGTGGGGAACCGACATCTTAACAACAGCAAGTCTTCTGACCCATGAACATGGTATATGTTTCCATTTATTTAGATCTTTTTTGATTTCTCTCTTTCATTAGTGTTTTACAGTTTCATGGCTTTGGTAAGATTTAAAATGGTGTATTATTTCCATAAGTTCTACAGCTATTTTTGAAATACATGTTTTACCCATCAATGGTAGTTTTCAACTATCCTAAATCTGAAAATACATATTCAAGCAAAGTAACACTAAAGCATTGTATTAGTTTCCTATAGTTGCAGTAACAAATTGTCATAATTCAGTGGCTTAAAACAACACAAGTTTATTCTCTTACTGTTCTGGAAATCAGAAGTCTATAATCAAGGCATTGGCAATACTGTGCTCTTTCTGGAGTCAGCAGGGGAGAATCCCTCTCCTTACCTTTCCCAGCTTCTAGAGAGTGTCTGCATCCCTTACCACCTAGCCCCTTCCTTGTATCACCCCAACCTGTTGCTTCCACTGTCACATCCCTTACTGTACTGTGGTCAAATCTCCCTCTCTCCCTCTTATAAGGACACCACAATTATATTTTGAATCTACCTGGATAATCCAGGATAATCTCCCCATCTCATGACCCTTAACTTAATCATATCTGCAAAGTCCTTTTTGCCATATAAGGTAATATTCACAGGTTCAAGGGAATAGATATCTTAGATCTTTGGGGGGCCATTATTCAGCCTACCTCTAGAATCAAATACATATAAAAAGTCAATAAGGTTCATAAATTACAATAAAAGCATACTTAGGAAGAACATTTAGCCTGAACAATGGCTTAGTAGCACTGCTTTAAAACAAGTAGCATTTAAAAGTCATGAATGTACCTTGTCTCCTTGTTTCAGTGTGCGTAGTTGAAGTCTTCCAATAGCTTTTTTAGCATCTGCCTTTAATTGCCTCTGTAAAAAAAACAGCAGGTATTAGAAAAACTATTTTTTAAAAGAATTATGATGAAAAAGATAGAGAGGATCAATAAATATTTATCAGGTAAAAGTCAATATACAAACGAATTTTAAAAGATAAAACTTAATTATCCATAATAAATGTCCCATTTACCTAACATCAGGCAGGATTTTCCAAGTTACTGAGACTTTTCACTTACTATGTTTCCCTACTTCCTTAAACAATACTGTTGGGACCATAATGGTAAAAATACATTTCCCCCACCCCTAATGGATTCAAATGCTATTAATTTTCAAAGCAATCTTCCTATTTATAAGCTCAGAGGACATTAACATGCATTTTTTCCAATTTCCTTTTTGAATCATGTCTTGTTTGGTGGAAAGTGCATAGGATTTGGATTCAAATGGTTCAAAATCTGACTTTGTCACTTACTCAATGAATAACCCAGCACAAGTCATTTAATTATTTGATTTGGATTCAAATGGTTCAAAATCTGACTTTGTCACTTACTCAATGAATAACCCAGCACAAGTCATTTAATTATTTGAGCTTGTTTATTTATCTATAAAATGAGGGTAGTACCAACCTTTACACTGTTTGGTATTAAGAAAAATATTTGTGTTTATAACCACGATTGCTTTGTGAAGAAGATTGATTCTGAGAGTGGTCACCTTTTATTGTTTCACTGAGCATATATCTAGATGTATCTGGATATGCAAAAGCAAGCCACAGGCTCATTTATGGAATAAAAACTAAAACATTACGCATAATTGAGTCAGAAGTGAAGTTGCGGTGTGGGAAGAATCTCCCAGGTGAGGGAAAGACTATAAAGAGAGTCTATATAGTCCAATAACATTGTCCCTCTAGGTGGGGTGAACCAGCCAGAGGAAAAAATCCCAGGTGATATTTGTTAAGATATTTGGCATCAATTTGAAGTTATTGGTGATGCTGCAAATACTTCACTCCCCTTCACTAAAGTCTACTACATACACGAATGCCTCAAGTGAATATAATATACATATGAATTGAAATAGAGGCTAAGTATAACACTTGGTAGATGCTGTGTTGATATGGTGAATATTTGTCCCCTCCAAATCTCATTGAAGTGTGACCCCCAATGTTGGAGGTGGGGCATGGTGGGAGGTATTTGGGTCATGGAGGAGGATCCCTCATAAAGGGCTTAATGCCGTCCTTATGGTAATGAGTGAGTTCTCAGTTCATGCTGGTTGTTTAAAAGAGCCTGGCATCTGCTCCCTCTCTCTCACCCTGTGACACATGTGCTCCCTCCTTTCCTTTCTTCCATGATAGGTAGCTTCCTGAAGCTTTCATCAGAAGCTGAGGTTGGCACCAAGCTTCTTATATAGCCTGCAGAACCATGAGGCAAATCAACTTCTTTTTTTAAATAAATTACCCAGCCTCAGGTATTCCTTTACAGCAACACAAACCTGACTAATACACGTGTGGAATATAACAGTAGCATGTGCAAGATGGCAAGATAAGTGATCTTTCTATTTTGAACTGTAAAATGAACATACTTAGAAATTCGGCAAAAAGTAGGCCCCCAGAACCAGAGATCATTGTGAGAATGTAAGCAGCTTCCTTCCTATATGTACCCCCATCTCCAGCTGACATTTATGTTACATGAAAATTAGAGATAATGTAAGTATTTAGTATAATGTCTGGCATATAGCAGACACTCAAGAAAATGTTTATTACATAAAATGTAAACTACCATTCATCAATAAGCATAACAGGTACTTGCCAATATATATTTGCTACAAATGCTACAAATATTTGTAGCAAATATATTTTGGAAGGTAGGAATCCATAAGTATCAGTATGTGAGAAATCTCCTTGATGTTCAAATCTGTCTCCTATGTAAGATATCATTTTGTGAAAGATATTTAACTTAATGCCAAGGAGAATATCAGCCAAAGTATTTCTTTGCTGTCACAGGAAAAGCAGAAACCTCTCAGATTATTACCTGACCAGCAAATAAGCCTATCAGAAACAGTGAATAGGAAGGCCTAGATCCTAAGAAGGAAAAGTGGTGATAATCAAGGCACTTTCACTCCCATTTTGGGACATAATTGTGAACTAAAAAAATTCTATGATGGGACTTAATTTCAGCACAAATATCTTCCCTTCTATTTTGTTACTTGTAAGATAATAATAGAGTGACAGTGAACAAAGGTACACCTAGGATCTTTAGATTACCGAGCCCGACATCTAATCAGACAAAGAAAACTGATGCTCAAAGAGGAAGGATGTCTTGCTCGAAATATCAGAGCTAGTGTCAGCCCCACTGAAGTGCAGAGTTATATCAAAGTAGCTATTTGTTTTGACCGTAGCATGGAGTAGGAAACTACTCCTACCATTTCCTTACAATATACAGTTGTTACACAGTTTAAAATTTTTTAATATCCATTACTTCATTTAATCCTCACAAAAACCCCCAGAAGAAGGTAATATCCTCATTTTAGAGATGCTCAAGTGGAGGGTTGAAAAACTAAAATAACTTATTCAAAAGGGAATGCAACATCTAAATAATAAAGCTGGTACTGGAACTCTGCTCTTCATATTCCAAGAGTCCATTACAATATAACCATCCATAATTCAGCTGTCTTTTGATGTTTTTCTAGCTTCTGGATTTCAGGGTCTGTCAAACTGTGGCAATCCTTCCACCTGTATGCCTACAGGGTCTTGGCCCTGGCCCACACACCTACACTTCACTACTTTCTTTTCACATAGATCATGAGTCAGTTGGACATCGAGAGGAGAAAAATGCAAATGAGAAAAAAATAGAGCCAGCAAGAAGAAATGGGAAAAAAATGTAATGTAATTGATGATGTCTTTCAGAATCATTTTGCTCTTTGTCCTTAAAGCAATTGTAATTTAGGTTTAGGCAACAAGCTGTATAACACAGTTTGGGAAAGCTCTCATAAGGAAGTGATACCTCTCTAGGGTATTTATTTGATTCAGTCTATATAGTCTGATTTCTCATTGCAAAACATTCCATTCAATACAATATAAATGTCTGAATCTCCAGTGCTAGTGCTTATCAATTTATCAGGCATTAATGCCAAATATATAACTTTCTTAATTATAGCCAAGACTATAATGCAAATTAATTTGAAGTGTAGGATCAAAGGCAAACTTTGTATATAATGTCTGAGTCTATGCCCAGGAGAACAGTAGAACTTGCATTAAGGCCAATGCTAGAAAATGATGGTGGGTGAGAATACAAAAAATAAAAAAATAGGGCCAAATCCAAAAATACCAGAAGGCACTAGACAAGAGATTTGATTTTTAAAGGATCTCTAAAAGATTTACAGCATAGCATAAACTAATGTTTAACAAAGCAGCCTTAGAATAAAAATGTGTTTAAAAGAAAATTTGAATATTTTCAACAGCTCTTACTGGGCTTATATAAAGAAAAGCTATTTTCTTTAAATATGGATGCAAGACAAGTGATTTTAGTAAAAAGCACAAACTGTATTTTTAGAGCTTAAAGGAAAGTCACTCGCAAAAAAACTGCCTCACGATATTCAAGATAGTACTCAAGATATTTCACTGTGACACTGACGCAAAAGATCCAAGATGCATGCTTCCCTCTAAAAAAAAAAAAAAATCTGAAATATGGGAACACCATTAGGACCCAGTAGATTATATTCAATACATATGTTTGAACAACATTTTGTCAGCTTTTGAGTGCCCAAATATACCTCAACATTTAAAGACAATATGCCCCATGCGAACTGTAATTTGTACCTTACTCCTTCAAAAACAGAATTTCAAGAATGTATCTATATTATTATACAAATTACATGGGATACTTTTCCAATGCCTTGCTACCATATCAGAATTTCCTTAGACTATAAATTCCAATAACACATCATTTCCACCTCTTATCTTGTTCAGTAACTGTATTATTAATGTGCCTTTCTCTCTTGAGTAGCAGGAGGACTGGGCCTTAGTCACTTAGAAAAAAATTTCCCAGTGGCGAGAGTTTGCTCAAAAACTATTTTCTGAATTTAGAAAATATAAACAGACTTTCTTGATTTTCTCATGCAAGACACTTCTCATTTCAATTATTAAAAGTCTCTACTCCATTAAGTTTGGGGAAAGAAAGGTTTAGACATTAATTGAGCATTTGCCATGTGTCAGGTTGTAAGCTTTTTACATGTGTCATCTTGTTTAATCATTAACAACATTGGGACATAGCTATTTCAACATCCAAGTTTTACAGACAAGAAAAGTAAGGTTCAGAAGCTTGACTAAAGTCCAGACAGCTGGTTAGTTTCAGAGCTGTGATTCAATTCAAGCCCAGGTTCTATCTGGCTTTAAAGCCCATGATCTCTCCACTATTGCACACTGCCTCTATTGTGTAATGGCAAAGAAGCCTTTCACATTCCTTGTGAAGAAGACAAACGAAGGAAATTTTAAAAACCCCTTCAAAGCCAGCAATTATCCAATCTTAAAATTCTTCCCAAACTAGCTATTTACTGTGATTTGGGGAATTTTAAAAAGCAAGTACATTATGTCAAACGCCTTTTGCCTTTCCCCTCCTCCTCTCTAATCCTAAGAGATACCTGGTCTAAGAATATTTGGCAGTAAAACTGAAGACTGATTCAAAGAAGCTGGTTGTTGGCCAATTTTCTTAACAGAAGCTTAATGTGACTATTCTGACTAATCAAAAGCTGAATTCGCTCTAGTTAGCGAAGAATCTCGACTATATGGTTTTTTTTTTGTTTTGTTTTTTTGTTTTTGGTTCTGAATGGGAATATATTGGGGTTGAAGATAAAATGTCAAACTAATGATCATTCTTTATTACAATGTTCAATTTTGAAATTATGGTGAATGCAAAGATATTCTACCTAGTTCATTGGTGTATTTATATCCAATTAGGTAAAATATATGTTTCAGTCTAGTGATTTGTCAGCTTGATTTTTGGTCCCAGGGCATTCAGCTTTTAACTTAACTGAAACCCACATGA